CCCCAAAACCCCAAAACCCCAAAACCCCAAAACCCCGATTATAAACATTAGGATTAAATGTTAAGAATATAAAATACTCACTTGGAATAAATAAATAGATTGCTTATGTAATCTATCTTTACCTTATTGTTTAGACTAGAACTTAATGATTTCACCACATTGCTAAATATCTCCCATCTCAAACATATCTAAACTCTTCATTACCTCTAATACCTGAATAGGCATTAGTGTCAGCAAACTTAACTGGTATTTTGTAGTAACCAGGACCTGGTGTATCATTCTTAGGGTCTTTAATCTCTCCTTTGGGAATAGAATAGACAATTACAGAATGACCTGAGATGTAATAATCTCGGTCATCGTATTGTCCTGGGCCTGGGTTAGTATCCTTATCTGGAGACAATGATCTATCTGGGCTGCGACTGAAATCAAATGCAGGCTACTTAAATCTAATGTTATCCTCTGACTTGTCGTACGCACCTGGACCTGGAATTCCATTATCATTCTTAGCTGGGTCTCTACCCTTAATTGTGTAAGCGGGTCCGCTGTTGCTCTTATGAAGATCATATTAGCCTGGTCCTGGTAATTGCATTTACTCATCAGACACGTCCAAGAAATCTCTCTTAGTCTTTGGCATTCTATAAGATCTTGCATTGTCTCTAACTACATCAGCTGAGGCATCATAGTGGCCTGGACCAGGCTAACCATTATCCTTCTAGTCAGCAGGTTTACCTCTGATAGTTGCTGCTTAGCCCTTTCCTAACCCTGAATGCTGATCATAGTTGCCTGGGCCTGGTAGACTTAGCTATTCCCTATCAACAATATCGCCTCTTTTAGATTTTGGATCTATTTTAACAGCAGGTGACTGATATCTCAAGTGAGAGTCATCGTTGTTGTAATTGCCTGGACCTGGGATATCATTTCCTACTATATCTTTGGGTCTGCCTCTGATTTACACAGACTTAGCATCATCTCCAAAGTTCTTGGTGCTCTGATACTGACCTGGACCTGGTTTCTAGATCTCTTCCTTGGAGACCATTTGAGATCTCTCAGTTCTAGGCATCTTGAATGAAGTTAAAGCTTAGTCCTTAGTTAAGTGGTTTTCTGGATCGTAGTTGCCTGGGCCTGGCACTCCATTTCCAACCTTATCCTTAGGCTTGCCTCTAATGGTAATACTCTAAGCATCTTCTCCAAATCTCTTAGGTGAATCATACTCACCCGGTCCTGGCTAGTAAATCATTTCTTTGGAAACAATGTCTTATCTATTGCTTTTTGAAATTTTGTAACCAACTGTTCTATCCTTAATTGGACTGATATCGCTTTAATACTATCCTGGGCCTGGCACTAAGTTTGGCTTGGTGTCATTTGGCTTTCCTCTGATTGAAAACTAGATTCAATATAAGATATATAAGTATTACAGTTTGAACATCTTTTCCAAAATCATCATTGTTTGCATAATTGCCTGGTCCTGGTAAATCAGCCATTGATTTATTAACTATTGAACTTCTCATTGTCTTGCTTATCGCAAAAGCTGGTGATTTATCTCTAACTGCATCAATTGATTGCTCATACTAGCCTGGTCCTGGCATCATGTCTGTTCTGCTCTTGCTTCTTCCTCCCATTGTATACTATATTTTTTCACGCTATGATAATCTTACTTAAGGGCCTACAGTCTTCATAGGAGTGTCATAGCCACCAGGTCCTGGTAGCTCTTTCACTTCTTTTGATACAATATCTTATCTCTAGCTCTTACCAATCTGGAATCCTCTCAGATTATCCTTGATATAGTTAACGTTTGGCTCATAGGCCACAGGACCTGGACTTTAGTCCTTTATAAGCTGCTCATTCTTAGGTTAAAAAGTGAACTTAGGACCATTTGCTCCAATTGTAGAGTGAGCGTCATAGTTGCCAGGACCTGGGTTAAGATTTGCATTTTTGTCTACTATATCATGTCTCTTGCTGGTACCTATTCTAAAAGATGGACTTTTGTCCCTTTAGATTTCATTAACGTTGTTGTAACTACCTGGGCCTGGAATATTATCTTTCTTAAGTGGTTCTCTTTTGCCCATTATACTAACCATAGGCACATCTTTACCAAACTGCTTGTAAGATTCATAGTTACCTGGTCCTGGAAGGTTCTTTACCTCTTTTGATGTCATTTCTGGTCTCTGGCTTTTACTAAGCTTAACACTTCTCAAACTATCTTTCACGTTATTTGGATTAGGATCATATTAACCTGGACCTGGTTTATCGTCTATTTTCTACTCAGGCTTACTTTGGAATTTAAAGCTCTTCACATCTTTGCCGAAATCTTTGCTCTTATCATCATATTATCCTGGTCCAACATTATTTGAGGTTTAAAACATCTAATTTTTCTCTCTACCTCCGCCTGGTTTTATGGTAGCTGTTGGTACTCTTTCTTTTGAAAAATAATCATTTGGATCGTACTGACCAGGACCTGGTATATTTTTTTCTTATTAATCTTTAGGTCTTCCTCTAATTGAAACTGATGGGACATTTTTACCGAAATCATTCCCTCTGTCATATTGGCCTGGTCCTGGAGTCAGAATAGAAGACTTGCTATGCTAAAGCATAGATTTGTTGTGGAATGGAATCTTGACATTCCTAATTGAATCTTTCACTGCATTTGTATTTGGATCATAGTTACCTGGGCCAGGTACAGTGTTCTTAATTGAATCCTTAATTTTAGAACCAATCTTGAAAGATTAGACACTTTTGTTATGAGGAATGTCATAATTACCTGGGCCGGGCTTGTATGTTTCCTCCTTGGGTACTATACTACTTCTGCCAGTTCTGCTAATAGGGGTCTGCTTCACTCTATCTTTAATTACTGAAAGATTAGCATCATACTAGCCTGGACCTGGGTTTTAAACTTAATCTCTATTAAGGGATTAAAGTCTTTCAGATTTATTTTTCAAAGTTGAAGCACCTCTTTAAGACTTTAGATCTTAGTCAATAGTTCTGTTGTCAACTGAATACTATCCAGGTCCTGGAGTTTATTGAATCTTAGCTGTTTTAGGTCTTGATTTAATAGTGACATTTTGCAATGACTTCCCCATTTCCTTGCTCAAACCATCGTATTGACCTGGACCTGGCAAGATATCCTTGCTAGTTATGCCCTTTTACCCTTTATTTATTCCATATGTAGGGTTTTTATACTTGACAGCATCGACATTTGGTTCGTAGGCTCCTGGACCCGGGGAAAACTCTCTTTATTTTTTACCTGATGCATACGTTCCTTGGGAATCTCGTTTAGAAACGATGCCGAAAGGAGAGCTGTGAAGGTTGGCTGAACCTCTTACAGAATTATTGCTAGCGATATCATATTGACCTGGTCCAGGGACCTAAGAGGGTCTTTAATCCTTGCGCTTTCCTCCGATTCTACATTTAATATATATTAGCAGCAGGTATTAAACTTGAATGGTATTCTTACGAGAAAGATGGGGGTTTGTTCAAAGCAGTAGGATCGTAAGAACCTGGGCCTGGGACTTTCAATTTATCTGACTTGAGAGGAGTTTGCTTGCTTGCTTTCCCTCCGATTGAGTAGGACAAGTTGTGCTTCAACTAGAGTAATGATTATTATATGTCAAGATATGTAAAGTAATTAGTTTGGAGTGGATTTATTTTCGAAATAAAATATTGGTATTTATATTTCGATATGCTTTAGGATTTAGCTGACTTCTAGATATACTTACCTTATTTACGTCACCATCGTACTATCCAGGGCCTGGGTTTTGATCTCCAGCTTCAGGTCTGTTAGACCTTGCAAATCTTAACGAATGTTATATACTAGCTAACTTACGACCATTCGGGAGACATTTCTTTTACTACTCTCATACTCTTTTCAGGATCATAATTATTAGGTCCTGGAGAATCAGTCCTTCCTCCACTGAATTCTAAAGTATCGAGGTTAGTGAATTTGAGATTAAACGAAATTAATTGATAAGATGAAATTATGAGGGTAGATATATCAATGTACTTACCTCTATTATCTTTTGCAAAACTGTAAGCAATTGACATGGGTAACTTTGTCGAATAGGTATACTAAAGACTTTAAAATAAATAAAGTTTTATTAACAAGAGTGAATTAATAAATCTAAATTAAAGCAAATTAACTGATATATTTTATGATTTGTGAGTTGACCGCAAAGTATTTAAACTATTAAAATTTGAAAATTATACTTTATTTCAAATCTTTAGTAGACTACTAATCTTAAACTCAAACTACTACCAACCATCTTTACTACTTTCAATTTTCCTATTACTAACATTCACCCATGTAAATTAGAAGACAAGTTTCAAAGGCAGTCAAAGACTACCAAAACCCAAAGAAAAATACACATTTTTCACCTTCACCCATAAAAAGATATTAAAGTTCCAAGTCGTTCATTATGGCAGCAAATACCTCGTCTTAAGATAACAAAGAAAATCTCGGTGGACCCCTGTTTTCTCAAATTCAAAGTTTCAGTTCAACCAAAAGACAGCGTAAACCACTTCAACAAGTCTTCAATGAGATGCACCATAACTCAATGAACATTGTAAGCAAAGGATTAGAGAATGAGAATCAAGGTTAAAGTGATGACAAGTGCACCAAAAGTGTGAGTCTATATCCAATTGAAATTGAGGAAGCGCTCATTACTGATAATTAATAGCGATAGCTTAATTCTCATTTTAAAAATATGACTCAAGATTCAACACTCAAAAGACGCAGAAATGATAAATATTCTGCAAATCACTAAGCCCACTCCGATTTTGAACTTAATAATGCTGATCTTTAAGATATTTAATAGCAGAATATCTCTAATCAGACAGTTTAGCAGAATAATCAAGAATTCTCATTAAAGATAGATAGATAATAGTCATTGATAAAAAATCCAGAAAGCGAATCACTTATGGATACTAGTTATCACAGCGGAAATTCGTAGCATAACAATCCAAGTGCGATGTAATACTCAGGAAGATGGACCGATGAGGAGCATGAAAAGTTTCTTGAAGGTCTTAAAATTTACGGAAAGGATTGGAGACTTATCGAGGAATACATAGGTTCAAGAACTTGTGCTCAAATAAGGTCTCATGCTCAGAAGTATTTCAACAAGATCAACAGAACTGCTTCGAAAAAATCAAACAAATCTGAAAGATAAACTCTTGGAAAAAGAACGCGTGAGGAGGTTAAGGATATCATGAATCCCTAACCATAGATATAGTCTCCCTTAAATAAGCCAATTTAGAAGCCCGAAAACCCAATTCCACTCTCTATTATTCAACAGTAAACAAAGGAGTAAGTTTCAATGATTCAAGAAAACCTTCAGAAATTGGCAGAAGATGAATTTCAGCTCAGTCTCTCTTTCCTTATCTAGCAAAGAGAGAAGATTTCCTTTGATTCAATCATAAAACGAATCACCCCAGAAAATGCATGCAAGTAAATGATACAGATATCTAACAATTTCCACGAATAAGCCATGAAAGCTCTGCAATTAAACAAATGTAAGTGTTATGGACTAATTCCTAATTCTGAATAATATCCAATTAAATAGAATTCATTCTTATCTTTTTCTGATATAGTTGATATTTGCAATCGCATGGTTGACGAAAGAAATCTTACTTAATTCATATGCATACTACTATCAAAGCAAGTCACTGTTCAGCCCATTAAGGATGATTAGAATGAAGCATAATAAGAGCAGGTTATTTAGCATGTGACAACTTCTCATTCTTAAGAATCACTAGAAGCAAATTAAGAGACGATCTAGTAAAGAATTCAAAACTTTACTGCATAAAAGATCAGATCTACTAACGCTTTCCCTTCTGATATTTTGGCAAAGACTCCTGAGATGATCAAAGTTCAAAACAAAAATATACTGAATTACAGTGGCATTAGCATGAATACTCTAAATCAAGCCTCAACTTTTCACAATAGTATTTTCAATAGTGCAATGACTTAAAATAATAATGCTGAAATTTCACCTTTCAGAAATATTTTGAAAACTCCACTGCCTCTTTAAAGAGCCACACCAAGAGATGATAAACTATCAGAAATTAAAGGAGAATATTTGAGGAATCAAATCCAAAACTTAATGATGAATCAAAGAAACATTACTGGCTGTGCTAATTTACTTTCTCAGCAATCTTTGAATAAATGAATGAATGAGCATGGACTCATTGACACAGCAGTAGCTAATTTGAAGAACCTAAATTCTACCCAACTTTTAAACAACTAAAACTTGACTGTATCATCAATTAATCAGAACTAAGCTACCAATTTTAATTGAGTATGTTTTATGATCTGATACTATTGATGGTATTGTAAATTTTTTTCCACTTCTCCTACCTACCTAATATGATTATAATTGAGAACTTATTTTATATGTTTTGTTTTACACATAAATCTATTACTTTAAAATATACGAATTAAAATTAATCTCATCAGAAGTATAAATTTCATATCTACTTTTTTACATCCATAATTTCATCTGTTGGGGTTTTGGGGTTTTGGGGTTTTGGGG